TTATTCTTCATGAACTGTATTTATTTATTTATTTATTCGAGTATTTACATGTTGGTACCATTAACAAAAATATTAACATTCTATAACTAACTGACTAACCGCCACGGTGGTCTAGCGGTTACAACGCTGGCCTTGTAATCTTGGGCTCCCGGGTTCGATTACCGGTTGTGCCCGAATATATAACTTGTGTTGGGCAAGGCCTAGGTCTAGGCAACACGGAGTTTTCCTCCGGGGGCTTCCCCGGTTTCTCCGTGGCATCCCAACAATTACTCCATTCACACACAGAAGAAGGCACTGGCAAACCACTTCTGGATCATCTGCCAAGAACGTATATGAACTGGTCCCAGTCCGAGAAAAGGATGGAAGGATCCTGTTAATATGGACCTGTCGTCAGACAGAACACTAAATAAACAATATAAATAAAATTAACTAACTAGATGGCTTACCGAACCCGAAGGTTCATCACCGAATTAACCAAAGCCCTCCACCGGACCCTGTCCTGGGCCAACAAAATCCAGTCTCCTGCAACTCCGATCGCCTATAGATCGCGCCTGATATTATCCTCCCATCTACGTCTAGGTCTCCCCAGCGGTCTCTTCCCTTCAGGTTTCCCAACTAGTACCCGGTGCACACCTCTTGTCCCATCCATACGCGCTACATGCCCTGCCCATCTCATTCTTGTCGACTTAATCACCCTGACAATACTGGGAGAGGAGTACAAATTTTTAAGCTCATCATTATGCAGTTTTCTCCATGCCTCATCGTCTTTCCTCTTAGGCCCAAATATCCTCCTCAATACCCTGTTCTCAAACACCTGCAATCTGTGTTCCTCCCTCTGAGCGAGAGACCATGTTTCGCACCCATACAAAACTAACATTCATATACGTGTTTAAAAACTACGTCAATGGACAATGATGCTTCCAAATTTTATATACCTATAATGAAATGTTTCATAAGATAGGAACATGTGTGGTAACTGTTGCTACCATTAATCTAAAGCGATTAATTTCAGTACTAACGGTACAGCTTAAAGAGTGTATAAGCACTTTTAGTAAATAAATACAATTTCTCCGCCCATAAGAATAAAGTTCTCACGTATTGGCTATCAGTAAAAACTGCCACCGATGATAACTGTACAGTCAAATATGATTCTTTTATTGCCCCTTTAAAGTAACTTGCTCTGTCGAGCCATAATACATGTGATTCGCATTCTGGAGGAAAACGATTACAATTATTCTCTAAAGCTTTCTGGCAACTGTTGATTCACTATTCTAATATCATTTCAACACAGTTTACCGTGTTAGTTATTACGGTAATTGAATGAGTGTGGATACAAAGAAAACGTGTCTGTATTTTTAAATAAATACTGTTTTATGGAATGTGTTTAAGCATAACGTGAAACATCTACAAAATGCACGTCAGAAAACTTTTTGTCTGTGGTACGAGGTTTTCTAAAGTCTGTGTATAATAGGGAACAGTGGAACACCAGGACTTGATCAAATGATCTTCAGTTAGATACAAAAGTCAGAATTAATTTAGAATGAACTTGTAATAAATATGTATGAATACTGCTCGAGTGTCTGGATTTACTCAAAAACAATCTTCATCATTCATACCACTTTTATCATTACATTGGGCGGTCTATTTTGTTACTGTGCTCTTTTTCCATATTTTCTATATAGCTACAACCTATTTTCTTTTAAAATGTCGTTTGTAGGTATCCATTTAGAACAACAACAAAAAACACGGATTTCAAAATGTGAGAAAACAGGTCGTTTTAGCCGTAGGCATTACTGTTGCGCATATTTCGATAAATAATAATCACATTAAAATTCAATAACATATTAATTAAGCTTCCTCAGCGAATAAATGCGCTAAGTCAAACGTGACGTGTCTTATAACACGAGATAATAACACACTATAAGTACACGAATATTTTAAATATAATATGTACTAATATACCTCATAATAACGTTATATGTAGACAGAAAATAAATCTTTAAAATGCTGCAAAGCCAAATACAGTAACAAATCAAAACTACATTCACGAAGAAATTCACAGATTAAATTTAGAGGATACTCCCTACCGTTCAGTTCAGAATTGTTTATATATTTCCCCTATATACAGATGCTTACAACCGCTTAACTGATAACAAAATCCCTCACCATTTATGGAATCTGAAGGTTCATCATCGTTCTCATAAGAGTTCGCAGCAAGTCTCCTCAGATGCTATTTCCATAATAACTATTAAAAATCTCTATGAGAGGTTTCCCATGTGATCCTTATATTGAGGTTCTCATACTAAATCTATGCGTTTCACATCTCTACCATTCGCTCTAAATGCCCTTCCCATCGCAATGTCCTTGAACTTAATATAACTATTAAGTTGTTAGCCGTATATTAACAAACAAGACACCCGATTACGTATAATTATCTGAAACAGGTACCGCTGATGAATAGCTAGTTATGTGTATATACAATACTTCGAAATCGATTGATATCGGATTCAATTAACAATTGATTATCGAAACACTATAGGCCAAAGTCAAAATTTAATATTTCGAACAATATAAAAACTAAATTTCAAATTATTAATTCTATAAGAATAATTCTTTTGCACGCATTTACACAGCCGGAAATCGCTCGATATAACACCACAAAACAAAGGTTCCTGTTAAGTTTATGCCGAAAAGATAAAACATTAGCTCACTTGGTATTATGCTCCGACAGCCAGGGAGCCTAGACGGTCAATATCCAACGTGCGATTTTTTTTCTAAGATTATATTGGAACAGACTGAAGTTCCATCAACTTGTCAACCTTTACACTGCCACGAAGAGACTTGTGATGGATGTTTGGGGACGCATCACATCCAGTATGACGGAAACTTTAAATTGCGTGAATTATCATTTCCTACCATCGCTCAATATGCAGTAACTCCCACTTCGAACGCACATAAATCCCCACGCAACAAAGATTTAGTACAAATAGCTTTTCCTTATAATACATAATACATGGTAGTTTCCCTCCACTCTATGGATTCCTTATCCAATATTTCCTATCCATTTTTATTTTATTCATCCGTCTTCTTCACACATAAGTTTATTATCGTTTCTCATCTGCAATTCCTTCTTCATATCTTATCTTTATCCTCCACGAATATGGATTCTCTATGCAGCATATGTTCTTCAATCCATTTTTTGAGGGAAACTGTCAAGGGACACGTTATGGGTCCTGGAGGGATAACAAAAGTTATATTTTCAAATTTTGCCTATTTTTCTTCTTATTACGAGGATCTAAAAATATAAAATTGTTATTAAAGCTATACGATATTTCCTTCCAAAATAAATTATATCTTTCTCACATAATATTAGACCAAAAAACAAACAATCAAATTAATCAAAATCTGGAAATATAATAAGGTGACGTAGTGGAATACTTCGATAATAAAAAGCAAATGTGGAGACATAGAAATGAAGCGAATTTCGTACACACTGGTAAAATAATATACATATGTGAGCATTTAAAACTTACAATGTACTAATAACACGTAAATTAAAATATTCTGAGGAATAATCATGGGGGCATAAACAGAAATAACAATTTTTTTAAACACTAGAGCGGTAACGGATACAAGATTAAGAAAGTCCAAATACAGAAACACAAAACTTTATACAGCCTAGCCGGAGGTGCAACTAAATAGTCCCCTACTTATAAGGTCATGCAGATGGAATATGTTAAGACAATTATTCTAGCACAGAATTAATGCTACAGTATTATTATTTAGTGTTCTGTCTGGCGACAGGTCCATATGAACAGGATCCTTCCATCCTTTTCTCGGACTGGGACCTGTTCATATACGTTCTTGGCAGATGATCCAGAAGTGGTTTGCCATTGCCTTCCTACAGTATGGGGAATAAAAGAAAGTGGTTTTATGACCATTACAGGCATAAAATTACCAATCAGTAACCAAGAGTTTAAGTAAAAAACAGCTAATATGTTGGTAAGATGATACGGTTTGGCTCACATTTACATGGAAATGTATCTACTTCTTTGAAAAGTGTTCACATTCAAGCCGGAAAGGAATTATTTTCCACGAAGGTGAGAAAGGAACATCTATCCTTTCGAAAAATTTCTTTTCCCTGTTAAGCAGAGTGTGTATAAATTATCTTTACAACTTTACACGTAAACAATACATTTATAAAAAGACAAACACTTTGAGCGTCATCTGCGGAAGAAACTTTCGTTTTTTGCTGAACACTACAAGCATTCAACATGGACACCATCTGTCACACGAACCGTGTCAAAATGATAGAGAAGCTCCATCCTTGCACGCTGCATCACGTCAATGACAACTGTTACAATGACAGCCGCAATTCTGTCCAAATAGTTGATGTCGGACACCGGATTTCGGTACACGCAATCTTTTAATCACCCCCATAGGAAAAACACAGGGAGCGATATCCGGTGATCTGGCCGGCCAAGATGTGGGACCAGCACGGCCAATCCATCGATTGGGAAATGTCGATTAAGAGATGCAAGCAACAATCAAGTTCCAGTATGGCGGTGCTCCGTCTTGCTAGAAGAACACGTCAGGCCGCACATCCAAAGAACTGCTGGATGTCACAGAAGCTTCGGCAAAAAAAACGTATTCTGATCACCAGATGCATACGTTCCCTTCGTTTACCTTCCCTTAAGAGTCGAATGCGGCCCCGTTAGAGAACATGATTTTCCTCAGGAATTCTTTGCCTTCGTAAAGCTTCTCAAGCGTAGTCACTGCAAATTCCTTACGGGTGTAATTTCATGCAACATTTACAACTTTAAGCATACAGACACAGACGTTTCCGTAACACCCGATGCACTGTCAAATGCGGCATTTGCAACTCACGTTCTACTGCTGGTGTTGACCGACTTACATGGACTGCGTACAAAGATCCTACATATTATTTTTATCAGACAAACGAGTAGCTTTCTTATGCAAAACACAACCGGTATACTTACACCGCTTGTACCAGGCACGTATAGATGATGCTGGTGGTGGCGTCTTGTGATACGTTGTTCTCAAACGTTTTTGGACCTGTGTGTCCGTCTCGTGTTCCGATAAACCACTCAAAACACAGTAACTTTCCATGCGTGTTCAGGGCGACTAACCCAGTTCACAAAGACAGATGCTGTGCGGTGGAAAACAACGGGTGCTACCACCTAGCAGGAACTCGGTGAAACGTTGAGAGTTTCTCTCGCAGATGACTTTCAAACAGTGTGTCTGTGTCTTTCCGTAAATATTTTTTTCCGAGTAAATTTGTAAAGGTAATTTATGTACACCCTCCACATAGCTTATATTAAAGAGGAAATTATGTATTGTGTAATAACACATCCTATTTTAGAGTAATAGATTCTATTTAATGTAAAGCGGAACTAGAGTGAAATTTCAAGTCTGGGTAAGCATCGATAGGTTCTCATGATAGATATCACAGAATCTACCACTTATAGGTTTCAGCACCACAAACTATACACTTACCATTGTATATTAACGAAATGTTTATGAAAATAACAAATCACATGTAAATAACTGATATTTCCTGTGTCTGATAAGAGTGCAATCCACCGAGTATCATGATAATGCGAAAACTCACAGACGAAAATTTTGCAACCGTTTAATTCTGTAGATACACAAAAATACTCTACAATTTATAAATGAGCCTACATCTATGCAATTGGAGATAATTGTGAATATCGCGCAAATTAAAATTTCTCTTCCAGTTACAACTGAAAATTGAGTGATCGAATGTTAAATGTTTAGTGTTTATTCTGGGTCAAGACGCCAAATGCTTTTGCGAGTCGTAAAAAAGTATTGCCTCCTTCTTAAGGCTTGAAATGAACTCTGAAGAATACACATCCTTACAGTCCAGAAAACTAAAATCAACAACTGCACACTGCGAAAACCGTAAATCTCAAATAAGCATTTATTGCCTTAATAAGCTTTACTTCACTAAAGACAGACGACAGAACAGATATATTTAATTTTTAAACATGCTAATTTAAGGTATTATTCACGCTATTTATCATAGTGGGCTAAAATAATTATCAAAAAGTTGGCAATCAGATCTGCAGGCAATAATTCCAACACGGAACCACCCTTATAAGACGCACAAACGTTAATTCAACTTGGACGTTTAATAAGAACACATTAATACAAATATAATGCCTTATTAGCCAGAAAATACTGCACGTACAAAGATGAATCTTAAATTAAAACATTTAAGTGCCCTTATTTAAAGCAGACACATTAGGTACTCTGGAAATAAATGAATGACGAACGAACATTTACAAGTGTATTGGGTTTAACTGAAGCAAGATTGTAGCTAGCTGTCTCATGGTGTGTTGCGTAGTGTACCCTCGTAGAAGATTCATGACGTTTCAGAGGCGATCGCCTTGACCATAAAGACAGCAACACGTCTAAAGTGTTGGTAAACTTTTACCAGATTACACGGCGCAAAAACACAGACTTCATCTTCATATTCCCCGCTGTGAAAAGCTCAAATCAACCCAGTTATTTTTAAGAATAAACAAGAGTAAATAAGTGAAAGGAAAAATCTCCCCATTTTCTTTTAGATATATTCTTTGGGCGTCTTCACTCAATCCTTGTTACATCTATTCAGCGGGATTTCTCTGTCCATTCGCTGCGGTTTAGTTCACGTTCAGCAGAAATGAAAACTTGTTTCCTGCCGACTATCTCTCCCCCTCCCACGTGACAGTATCCTTGTGACGGATTCAGTTGTTTCGCGTTACTCTTCTGGTAAAGAAAGAAATCAGACACTCCTGAGAGAGACTGGACTTTTATGCTGTTCGGGCGAAGTGTGCAAAGCGTACAACAAAGCACATTGTCCTCACACACAGATGTCATTGCCCTTTTGCCTTTCCGTCACCTGAAAACATGTGTTCTAAAAGATCAGCCTCTGAATATATTTTTCAATATGGGGTGGTGGTAAGAGTTGCAGATTTAATAGAAATTCATTTCGAAATGATCAAACCTGACTATGACTTAGCACTAAAGTTAAAATACCTTTGTAAATACACAGTGAATATTAGGGAACTCATAAATTAAGGCCAACTAAAATCACTCACCTTATTGACTAGCTCCTTTTATTTGTATATATTGTTGAGATAATGATAATCAAAATGCCGAAATAGATTTCTAGTGACTAATTTTTGGTATATAAGTCAGGCCGTGGAGAAATTTAATATTATTATTATTGCTCCACAACGTTAAGTAATTTTTAATTAAAATAGTGTCATTTTTATGTTATATAGAAAATGACTTATTTTACATTCCTGAAATTATATTGGTCTGACGGCACATTACGAGCCAGTAGGGGTCACTTGCCACTGTTTTACAGATACACGTACAGCTCTGTTATAACTGTCAATACACATTGTTCAGCTGTTATAACACCATACCTTGAAGGCCACATTGACATTTTTAAATTTACTCAAGGAACAGGGGCTCGAACATTCGACAAGAGTAACTATTTACATTTCTGGAAAGAAAACACCGTCAATTTGCGGTTCACGGAAAGACAAACCTGTAACAGCCGTCACTAAATTGCATGATTCAAGGTCACAGAAAAATCTTACAACGTTTCAACACGAACAAAGGCACCCAGATAGTCAGGTGGTTCACAAGTATTGGTTCATAATGATTTGGTCAGATGAATGAGGAGTATGTAAGGATATCTTGTATACATAACGAAAGTTTAAACTCACGTTTCTGTAGCACCAACCTCTTTAGTATTTACCAATCATTGGGAATAAAAACATTTTAATTCAGATAATTACTTTTAATGATTGACCACAGAGCTTTCAAGCTGTGATCTGACTTCGAGTGCTCTTTGCAATAGACACAAGAACCACAAAAATGAACCGGGTTTGTTATACCCCTAACCCGGAACTGTTCGCGCATTAAGTCAACAGCACGATACGATTCTCTCAGTACTTGGTATTCCAGAGGTCTGTCTGTGGCAGCGTGCGCTCAGAAGCACTTGGCAGCCTAAATGCAAATGTAAACCAAGTCTATCCTCAAATAACGCACAAAGGAATGGAAGTCATTGTTCGCCTGGTCAACCCTCTGCTACTTCTTTCAATGGAAGCAGTTTCCACCACCTAGAGCGCGTCTAGCTCTTTTCTCGTCAGATCGGTGATCCACTGGCAGGCCAGCCAGCTTCAGGATCAGATACAACCTGGTGACCTCTTCCCAATCCCAGCGTGTCAATATTGCCTTCGGCTTCCTTCTCTGATTCTATTTACCCTGAGCTTTTCTCAGTCAGTCGTTCTAGTCGAGTCGAGTCGAGTCGAGTCGAGTCGAGTCGAGTGGGACAAACAGGGGTGCATACTAGCGATCCACCACCAATTCAAATTGACAAAATGGTTTAACAAATATCTGCAGGTAAAGAATTTGCTGAACGGGAAATGTGTTGTTTGCTCGAATATTTATGGGTCACAAAATGCTTCAACTCGTCTTTGAATTTTAGCCCGTACATAACTATACCATCGCAAATGGTGGACTAGTGGTTAGCATATTCGCCACTAAACCCAAGGTTCGCGGGTTCAAACCCGACCGAGGTCGATGGATTTTTAACGGTGATAAAAATACATAACACAAATTCCTTCGCGGGGAGTGGGGTGGGGGTCACTCACTACTCACAAACGCACACTTCAAAGACTAGGAAAGCTCCGAATAGGAGGAGGCCAAATCCCACAAACGGGTTGTAGAGCCAAGGAACAACAACATAATTAGACCAAATGGCATGTAGTTGTCGTATTGCGAGACGAACAGTTTTTACCTCGGTCCTGACGATGGCTAGCTTCTTTGAGGTATTCTAAGTATTTCCTCAGTCCCTTCCTACAGCCTACTACCGCTACACCATTACAATCGATTTCTTATCGAACTACTCATAACCTATGTGGTTGATAGTCCCCAAATAAGACAAGAAACAAACGCAATAACTGCATACAATTGTCTTTCTTCCCAAATTTTATTATCTCATTTCTACAAATCCTCCATGCATTAGAAACGCTATAGTGGGCATGGCTTTGAGGCTCATATCTTCCTGGAACTCATTAGCTTTCCAGTAACTTAAGAAATATCTTAAAGACGATAGATTAGGAAATTAAGAGAGACATTGCTCACCTGAGGTGAGATCTTGTAAACATGGTAATTAGCCTACGCACTTAATAAAATTCGGAAAATTTTCTGACTATATGGACGACTACTGCCTTCAAAAGAAAACCTCATATTCTTTGAGTAATTTGAATTAATAAATTAGTATTTGTTGTTTATTTTACTTCAAACTACGTCCTAAATTTCATGTAGAAAGCATGTGCAAAATGTCAGAATTTTTTTTAGATATCAGTAGTTGCAGTCTGATATCAGAGCTAGTAGATAACGATCCGCTTTGCTTCTGGGGCACAGATTTGCCTCCGCCACCAAATTCCTTGGATCACCCTGGAGTCATCTAGCCTCCTATTCTATGAGTACCAATAAATCCTGCTTCGTGCTGAAATAATTAGTATCCTACTTGGTAATAGTCGCTACCCTACGCATATATAAACAGTTCTACTCTCTCTTTGGATACAATGTCTTACAGCATATTGCTGGTAATGTAGCTGGACAGGGAGTTTTCAGACCGAACTCAAGTAGATACCACATATTTAGCGCAAAATGTTTTGGACCACTTCCAGTTATATTTATTGTAGCCCAGTAAACAAATACTTTTTGTAACAGGATGGAAAGCCCAGGCTAAAGAAAATTTGATATTTATTTTTGTGTGGTGTTAAAGTACCGGAATTAATCCACTTGAAAACAACAGAAATTAAATACGTGGATATGGATAAAAGTGACAAGTGATTTGGATTTGGAGAACGAAATTTTAATGTTCGAATATCTTCAGAGAAAGCGGAGAGGAAAATACACCGTAACATTAGTTTAGGCAACCAACCTCAATCAGTAATTTAAGCTGCCTTAGTGAATCCTGAATCCGAAACGTGCTTCTGGTAAAAATTAAGGAGATCGCACGTACGCGGCCCAAATTCGAATTTTAAACTAACAGAAATTTTCATATAATAGGAGTCAAAGTGCCAATAAATATGTCAGAGCTGAAGAAGCAGATTTAATTGTTCCACACTGAAGAAGTTTATTTATTAGAACGTTCTGCGTTATTTGTGTAAAGTGGCAGGCCAAGAATCTCCTGGCTTCAGAACCTAAAAACTTGGTTCTCGATGTCCACTGGAGGGCTGTTTCAAGTAGCAGTCAGTAAAGCTCAAATTGCTATGCAGATCGCCAACATCCGGAACGGATAGGCACTTTAAGAAGAAGCATATAGTATTAAAATATTTAAATATTTAAAAATAACCGTGAATCACAATAAAATTAAAAGATTAAAAGATTAAAATATCATATTATGTTCCCTATCGAGTACTCGATTTACATATGGAACTTATAAAAGAAGCATATAACACTAATTTAGAGTGATTGTGTAGAATCAAGTTCATTCAGTAGAAAGCATATAACACTAATTTAGAGTCATTGTGTAGAATCAAGTTCATTCAGTAGTAACTCAATCACCATATTTATGTGCCACCAAATAACCCACCACACAATTCCAATTTAAAATTTTACAAACCAGGAGTAACCCCTCATGAACACATTCGCGACATTTATCCTACAATTTTTATCTCAACATCGCGTTAGAACAAAACGAACCAGTTCAGGAGACGGTTCTCAGTTTGAGAACATCTCTTGGCGACTACCAGTCCGATAAATCAGATCTTGTCACATCCAACTTGCCCACGAATTACCTTAAGCACCTAATCAAATCGTCACTGTCAACAGCGTCAGATATAACCAAGGTTGGCACCAAATTAGTAAGCTGCAGGTAGATGGAAAATTTCGGATGCAGTAGAAACCTAGATTCAGATCAACCAAGTCCTGAAATCTGCACCAATGTCAGCTATTTCGTTTTTACGATATTTTACTTCAAACTTGGAGTTTTAAATAAAGTTTTTTTTCCAATTGCACGGATTATGGAGAGTTCTTGTGTCTTAAAAATACATTATAATATTATCCTTTTCGCGGTGTCTTCCTTCAGACTGCAATTTTGTACGAATTCATAATTTTCCCCATACATGCCGCCATTTCATGCACCGTGATTTTATTTCTCTAACACCACCTGGAGACGAGTAATTCTACAAGGTATAGAACTCCTTGGTACGCAGTTTTCTTCAGACCCATGCTCCTTTTATCCTTTTAGGTCCAAGTACTTATTCTCTCTCTCTCGATCCCCAGTTTTCAAGAGCGTTCTGTCTTTTCCTCCTCAAAGTGATTGTCTAAGTTTACTTTTACAAGAACATTATATATAATTTTGTAAAAAGTATGTTCTTTGTGTTATTTTAAAGAGTTCCTATTGAAATCCTTCATTTCGTAAAATTAGTATCCTTATAAATTTTACGGAGACTGGGTGGAATAAAACAGTAAAATGCTATTAGAAACCAGGCAGCTTGAATCTCATTATTTCTACTGTAAGAGGGAGCTGTAATTGTAAATGACTTCGTCCAATTTCAAGAAAGGCTTTGAAAGTTTCTTCTTGTTGTATATATTTGGCTTTTCTTCTTATAGACACCGTTGAAATATACAGTAAGCCTACTTCTAAAACAGAATCAATGTTCTTTTTTAAATGAAATTTTAAGTCCTACACAGGCCTATCACTTCTCTCAGTTTCGTTATGCCTTCCTAAACTTACCTACAACTCCATTGAGTCTTTTAAAATGATATATTCTTAATTAAGAACTGTTTCTTCCTTCGTTAAATACAAATACTTTATTTTACAATGCTTAGTGAAAGCCGCAAAATACCGCAATTTTTTGAGGATTTCAGATTTCTGCATAGAGAGTTAAGAAGTCAATAAGCTTTCAAGCATACCAATGCGGGCAATGAGAGAGAAAATGTATAAAACCAAATTGCGGACCTATAAAACGCGCATTACTAAGAAACCTGTGAGACCAAACCTTATTAAACTTCTACAAAACAATGTGCATCTCTATAATGTTATATAGATGAGAATTTTGGGATAATAAATTCTTCTCGGGTTACCAGCAGTGTTAGCTGGTTTAAGAAAGAAAATACCAACGTTTCGAGAACCATATTCGTTATCATCCTCAGGGTACTGAAGTAATTCATTACCCTGTGGACGAAGACGAAGACACGATTGGTAGCCCGAGAAGAAATCGTTATACTTAGTAGGCGTGAAAGCTTCAGATAAGAGAATTTTGGATGTTGACGGAAGAACAGATAAAAAACGGAAACAACAGAAAAGCGTTTCCTGGTCGCAGGATATTGAAAGGGGATACCAAATGAAAATTACAACACGGAGAATCTAAGCATAGCACACATTTATAAAATAATGAACTGTAAAGAATGCCTGCGAATCGAATACCGTCAGCCGCTCAGTCAAAACTAACCGAATTTCAGAAGGCAACAAGAACCTTCGACGGAAACATGAAATAACTTTAATTCTTAGAACCACAACAATCCACCAAAGTTTCTGATGATTACGATGATGGTGATGAAGTGAGAGGCCGAGCTTTCGAACAATTGAATAACACAACTAATGACGCTTCAGCAGAATCTCCAACGTAATCCACTACTAGAGATCAGAGTCCTCTTTGTGTTCAAGTAAAGAAGCAGCTGTCACGTGTACGGGTGGAATGGCACTTTCGTCTATTCAAGATGTGTATGGAGTAGACACCAGTAAACACTAGCCAGAAAGCGATATCATAATGCCTTCCTGTTGGACAAATTTCGCGGAAGAACCTTTGAACGTGGTTCATGCAATGTTTCTGTTAGAGAACTATAATCAGACTTGATAGTAGATATTTAAATAATGAAACTAACTGTACATGGCCTGTTGTATGATTATGACCTATTCACGACAATTGCCTCTCGACTCACGTGTAAGTTTGCTTCCGCTAGATACGTACATTCTCTTAATGCGCTATAACAATTCAGTAGCAGAACAGGCAGATTAAGCACGGCAACACCATAGCTCGTAACTGGAAATAATCTTGAGCCATTTGTACCCACCTCTCATACTTCAGATATTACATCAGGTATAATAACACATATATTTTATTTTGGCATCGAAATATAACAGATTCGACCTTAAACCGCAACAATAATTTAAAAACGAATTTTTAAAATATTTTCGGAGACTGCGGTGGCAGCCGCTTGGCTTCATAAAAATTTCCATATAGACACAATATGCCTTGCAGTATGCGTAGATTAAATTTAAGATTACATAAATATAATATTCATAATATAACTTACGCTATCGACCTTTTTTGCAATTGTTATTGCCAAAGTTCTATCTTCCTGGCCTATAAAATTACAAGTAGCAACTTTCCCTTTAACATTATATTGTAATCCATCCTTCTGTCCGTGCTTCGTTGTGTGTGCCGATGTATGCAAAATTTAGCGCAATTCTACTTTGCCATCCAAGCGGGCTGACAAGATTTCTAGATATGAAATATGGTGTCATAACTGTATTAACGCAAGGTATAAATATGCTAATCATACAATACACTGCGTAAAAGTTGAGTGGCTAATACAATTTTATTATCCAATTGTGTACTGAGGCATCTCACCATCACGAAGCACTGAAGGCATTAAATGTAGCTCACACACGAACATTAACGCAGGTGAGTTGCCTCAAAAACTACCCCCGCCCCCCGATACCGCTCCCCCAGGGCTGCGTATTCCAGCAGAAGCTTTTCTGGTTACCCGTAGTACAGCAGGCATTTCACAAAAGTCGAAGTTTTACGGGAGAGCTACGGTTCCGGTGAAAATGGAAATTGTGTTGAGGGGCCGACTACAAATGCAGTGATATTTATGGCACATACGGTCTTGAATCTCTCTAATGCATGGATCGTGGTTTAAAAGCTTGCTCGGAAATGAGTTACTTTGTTGAACAATCCCGTGCGATGGATCGATCGCCAGGTAAAATACTTGCACCAGAGTCTAAGAGGAATCAGTGTTTCGAAAAATAATTACGAATCGGTACACGCCAGAGCGTTAGCCGTAAACGTTCCGAAAGCACGATTGTCCGAGTCACTGCTCTAACATTCGACGGTCTTGTACCGACGGGATGATACAATGCTGAAAATTATTGTCTGAAAATACAAATAAGAAACTAAACACTACAAACGTGTTCTAAATGTTTAACGATGCCTCTTCGTAAGAAGTTATGATTCGTCAGAAATCGGAAAGTTTACAATAGAAACTGTGCCAGTCCAGGTTCGTGGTTCGATTCCCGAAAGGGGTAAACCAGGCTTTCGCATATTAATCTGGTTTATGTAAACGAAGGAGGTGTGATTAGATGATATTTGGTACGCCTTACTTCATCCAAATTTGAGTGATTTTATTAATTTTGGCATTGTTAAATTTATTAAATTGGAAGACAGTGGCGACACTCAGTAGTGTAAACGTCTCTCCTAACGACATTTCGTCTAGCGCAAACGTGACTTTAACAAAGCTTTCGCACTCGCAAAAGTTGTTTACGAGGCGAAAACCTAAGCCCTGCCAGATGTGGAATGAAGGTTGCCCTAAAACCGTCGTCTGACTGCGACTGGAACCAATGAAATTCGAATGTGGCTTTTCGGCTCCTTTCCGACGTCATGGGGTGACTTTTTGGGGGACGAATCGTATCACCGTATTAATTTCAAAATTTTAGAATAGTTAGGTTGCGGGGGTATTTATAGCGGAATTGTGTTGCTGTGCGCTCTCAGAACTTTTGGTTCTTCAAGTCGAGCAGACAGGTTCTGCTTGTGCCTTCAAATTTGAAGTACAAATACAACAGCCGAATCATCGCGCTGCCTTCCGATCAGAGTAATTGGCTGTACCACAGTGTGTCTCGAGGCACAATGAAAGGGGACATCTCCAAGGTAACTTCTGTGCGGTCTTCAGTTGTTCAGCCCCAGAGACTTCACGTCCTTGGCGCAAATGCCGCTCCAACCATCGCAGTCCCCTTATATTCCCTGAGATTCGGAGACTCACGCTCTCCGACAAAACCTGCACCAAATATCCCTTTATGTCCTTCCGCATACCCAAATTTACATCTGGAGCTGTAACCTCACGCAAACCGGGCACGCTACTGGGTTTGATCCTGTGGTGACCAAAGTAAGAGGACGAGTCGTGTGCTTAAGGACGGTTGCAAAACCAATCCGAAAATTCACGATTATCCCTGTTTAAAAATATAAAATTTAGGCAGTTGATATTATGTAAAACATTCATAATCCGTTACTTACTCTGACGAGCGGAGCTCGTCTTGAAGAAGTACTTATCACTCTGCTACTCAGAAAATTCTAAGCATTTTATAAAACACAAATATTTTTCAGACCAGAATTTAGATTATAATCCACTGGGTTTCTTCACTCTGTAGTATTATGGTTGTTAACGCACTGCTTGTATACTCAGAATTGAAGTCAATCCTGAAGATGGAAGCAGTAATGGTTCTCCGAAACGTTGTTATCAAACCACAAGATTTTACAACGCAACTACGCACAAGACCACAAACAAAATCACGCGCCCATGAACACCCTGAATCCTACACTTAAATAATTCGAGTGACGCATGTAAATTGTCGAATTTTTTTTAGCAGGGGACACGCAACTCACTGCAATAACATACGTTTAATACTACATCGATTAAATCTCATTGTCAGTAAAGTTTAGTTATTTTAACATTTTATTCCATGTAGACCAAGAAAACGTTCGTTGGTTGAAGTCAATCAATGAAGCTGTAACTGAAATTTTAATCCAAAAATTCTAACCCATTCCAGGTAAGGCTCAAGACAAGAAATGATTCTCAGTACATCACATTCACAAATATCTTACAAAACTTATGTGAATCACTAAAATCACGTTGCTATGTGTGGGGCACTTCTGGCCTACGTCATATGGGTACTTTTCAAACCTAAAATTTATAAGTGGTTTGTCTTAATACCGTCATATGTGGGCTAATTCAGAATAGCGTCACGCAGTAACGCCATATATTGTTACACTGGCCAGATCAAGGGTGAGGACCACGCATACATTATGCACTTCAGATTGTAAATAAGTACACAATTTTAATCGGAACGCCTGAATGAAAGCGACTATTTGAAAGACACAGTTGTAAATAGAAATACAATATTCAGATGGAGAGTATATGTGTGTGTGTGTGTGTGTAATAGTGTTACATGAATTTAGCTTCCATAAAGGAATATGCATTTTTTAAATACGTGAAAGAATATCAACTTTCAAAAAAGTTTTCTTCCAATCACCCTTTACATCTCATTTGCAACCACGTGAATCGCCTGCTTTATGAATCAATATTCTACGTTTTGCCCACAGAGTTTATTTATTGCTTTTATATGATACTCAGATTAAACTGACATTTTTTCCTGTAATAGTTACAGGCCATATTCTCTTTGCAGTAAACAATAAATTCTTAAACATTACTAAGATAAGCTTCGGCTTTAAAGGTGTTCACTTTGTGTCCCAATACGTGTACCTGGACTGAAATATCCTCCTCAACTTTGATAATATTCTCGCTTCTGTGTGAGGTTATTGTGACCTCAACGAATAAATCGAAATGGGACCGCTGCGGAAGTGAGGCCATCACAAGCGAAGATCATAAATGAAGTGACCTTTCATCATTCAAACGCTAAGGAGTTAATCCTTTGTTCGTCATGAAGGCACCGGAGACAAGGGACGACCTTTGTGTTAGTTTGGACTCCTGCCAGATCATTTCCAAGACTTTTTGTGCGACGACTTACAAAACCACAGTACACACATAACCACAAGAAACGAGATGAAGAGATATCAAGATCGGATAAAAGATGGTGACGTGACGCAATGCTCATTTCAGCAAGTCGTATGACAAATCATTCGTAAGAACATAGAAGGTTAAGCAGGTGAGTTATGCAACATGCAAAATTCTCTCAAATTCGCTGATATTTTTAAAATGAAGTGCACTGGAATTGTTTGTTTATTAAACGTATTAACTACGTGTTTAATCTCTTAAACGTACGTCTTTAATAAAATAATAACATAATATGTTGACGTCTTAAGAACTGACACGTAAAGTAAGTGCACTTAAAGAGAGACACTGGATTACTCTTAATTGTCAAAAAAAGTTACTTCTCTAAGAATGTAATGTTGCCAGTCCGTATATATATATATATATATATATAAACTGCACAATGTTGACAGACGATAAAAGAACGCTAAGAAAAGATCGCTTTGTCCACTAATTCATGCATAAATCCCAGAAGCCAGGAAACGATGCATAAAAGAATTTTGTATTATGTGGGTGCGCGATTTTCTAAACAAATTCGGTGACTTGCGAAAGTTACCATATTCAGACACTCCGATCTTGGTCCTACATGAGGATGTTTCTTCAAAACTCGAAGGACGTTTATTACATTCTAATTTGTGAATGATGCTTCATAGTAACAACCGGAAATGTGTAATCCTATTTAAGTACACGTATTTTAAATTTCCTTCTCCACTGTAAAGAATTGGTATTTATACGAATCAACTGTAAAAGATAGTATATAAAATGACAATGGATAAACATTTTATCAGTAATACAGCTAGAATTTTTCGGAAAAGATTTTTGTAATTTACATCCATACATAATGTATTCTTTCCTTTATTAAGAGCTTGCAAAGTGAAAATAAGAAAATATATTTTTAAATAGTTCTAGATTTTAAGATAGGATACTTAATGTCAACAGTTATATTTATTTACACATTTTTAACGTTACAGATTTTTTTGTTTTCTATATAATCGGAATTTAACATCAATGTCTAAAACTCAGAGCGACGTTTAATTAGATATATCTGAAGTCTCTTCATGTACTTTTAATTTCAGAGATGAAAATCGGTAATGAAAACAAAACACAGTTGAGTAAGCTATCAATAAAAAAACTAATGAAAACGACGTCATACATGGCAGATACGGACATCACAGAGAAGGATGTAAAGTTTTCTATTTCGTTTCATGTCCCTAAAATAAATTATTTTGTCACTAGATGTACGTAAACTTGGGTCCTCTCTCTGTGTAATATATATTCTGTAATGATCATTGATAATTTGCATAGATTACAGGATCCGCGTAGTACAACGACTGACAAAAATTCATGATAAAACATGACAAGTGAAAGTGCTTTATTGTCACTTTTAACTCACACGTATTGTTTAAAAGTTCGGATCGTGGATCAAACGTTAAGCCATACATCCATGTTTTCATTTTTGGCGTCTTTGATATTTTTCATGACAGAAGAGTTCGACAAATTTCGTACTTCTAACTACAAAATTTTATGTTTACTTACATTCTCACTGATTAAATTTAAAACACAGTTCAGAAAGCTATCAATAAAGAAGCTAATGAAAGCGACATCGTGCATGACAGATACGGACATCACAGAGAGGGGTTTAAAAGTTTCCTTCTTGTTTCATGTCCCTGAAATACATTATTTTATCACCAGCTCAATAATAGCATTTTCTGTGAATTGAGAGAATTATAATTGTGTTCGCTGCACCGTAAATCAGGCCCTGGTAAATATGAAGACATCATCTAGCAGATATTAAACTGCTGACGGCCTACTATAATGTTTCGACATCAAGACGGAAGTGAGTGACTTACTGGTAACAAAGGTTAATTTTTGCCGGGCGGTTAGGGAACTTTAAAGTTCACATTTTTGGTACTTTAATCAAATATTATTTGGAAATTAATTCAGGGAGAATTACATGCAGAGAATATAACACTCATATGAGATATGCCCAAAAAATGTATGTTGGAAAGCATAATTTATAAGACAACTTGGAAGACCTGGTTTTAGTCGGAAGGATAAAATTAATATGACCTTAAGGGAACAGGGTGGGATTGTGTGAACCGGACATACCTATTTTTCTGACTAGGAAAGTGTAGTTAGTTCTTGTGACAGAGGTAATAAGCTTTCTATTCCTTGTAAAAGTTTAGAAATTTAATTAGCTGAGTGTACTGCGAGAATCTCAAGAAAGATCTGTTAAGGTTGTTAGTTGATTGCCTACATTATTTGTAATTACTGTAACTGTTTAAATCCCATTTTATTTTCCAGGCTTTCTCCTTCAAAATTTTTATTTGTTCATCATTTACGAACGTCTTCCCGTCGGATAGAGGGTATAGATCCTTTACCATAAAACATGTTTTTTTAGAAACTTAAGAATAAATATTACTCAAAAGATCTACTCTAGACTCGCATATTTATATAACATTTTTAAAACAATAATCGAAATTTTTCAGTATCCATAATGGCGACGATTGAAATAAATAAATAAATAAGTACGCTGTAAATTCTTATACCGCCTGCCACAGCATCGCATATTCCAAGACAAACATAGACACGGAAGGATATCGAAACACGGTTTGCTTGAACGAAGAAAATCTATGCTTCAGTAAACAACAACTGATCACCTGCATATGTGACTGTGTTGATAGAGGGCATTATACAAGATGTTGGCTTTTCCATGCAGCTATACTCAGAATTCTCTGTCACATTCTCTTTTATGTTATCCACCGACTGTACATTTAATATTCTGCTGGAGTCAGTATAATACATGTCGACCATAAATCATAATTTAGAGGCAACTAAATTATCAGGAGAAGAGTTAGTAAATAAATCCAATCATGTCTATTTTTGTCAATATCCTTTGTGTGGTTTTCGTGCCCAGTTCACATTTGACAACATGACAATTAAAACTAGATGTACAACGAAAAATTGCCCTTAATTCAGTGTTTCATATCGGACGATGCACGTGGGTCCCCCCCTGAATACGATAAAAGTTTCTTGATATTCTCCTGTGTTTCTTTTATGACGCTGGAAGAATGCTGTCACTACATGAGCATTTATATTTCGTTACGTTCAAATTATAAAAAAAGGTCTTACACTTGCCTGAACTTAAACCATGCAATTAACTTTATATGTAATTATTTGTTGCAAAATTTTACAATAACATGTAAAAATAAAGAAATTACATAGGCTGAACTTCAACTGATTTAATTAGGCCGATAACAAGG